ACCAGGTTAAAAGCTATTTCGAAGACGGACGCGAGCGCACGTCTCTCGTAACGTGTTTCGCAGGTATATGATAGTCGATTTAATCACACCGTGTCCCGAAGGGTTCTGGGAACATAAGGTCAGAGCCTGACATTTCGCTGCGCCGGCAGTAACTTTGGCGGTGCTCACTGGCTCTTAAAAATGCCAGCCGGTGTTCTTTAATTAATGCGGGGTGGCGCAGGGATTTGAGAGTGCGCTACGTTTCCGCGTTCCGCGTTCCATTCATCGTATTGTTTCAGAGTGTATTAAAAGAGAACGAAGGAATTCACGCGAATTATTTTATAATACGACGTAAGAGGGAAAATCGCGCGGAAAAATGCGAGGAAGAGAGAGAGAGAGAGAAGGAGGAAAGAATGAGCGAGAGAGGAGGCGTTGGGCGTTTTAGAAGGGAAAAGAAATAACGTATCTCTTCTCGGGAACCTAATGGCCCTCCAGACGGTCGAGGCGCAATTAAAAGTTGCGGTCGAAACTAACTAAACCAGCCGTAGTTTGATTTAAACGTTTCCGACCCCCGTTACGCTTCTACGTGACGTTGCTTAATTGCATTTAAATGGATGGCGGAGGAGATTCCGCGAGTATCTTCGTTGCCTTCCAAACGGAGCGAGCCCGGCCCCGCAGGGAGCCCGACACGGCGCGATTCAGACTTTCAGTAATCACGATCGAGCAAAGGATCTTAATTGATCGGTTAGGTTGATAGCGATTTACTCCCGTCTGCGGAGTCGGGACTCTGATTAAAATTACGAGCGAGCGAGGTGTCGTCGCTGCGCTGTAATAAACACGCGCGCGTCTCTTACCTGGACTTTTTAATTACTGACTTCAGCCGGATTCCCAGCCGAAGTCACACGTCAAAATTCGAGACGTATCTCTCTCTCCCTCTCTCTCTCTCTCTCTCTCCCTCTCTCTCTCTTTCTCTCCCGCGCTCGTCTCAAATACACGCCTTTGGCGCTTTTTTGTGATCAACGGTGCTTCGATTATCTCATTGTGTTTCGGTAACGAGGTCCTCGCGCGGTCTTTCGGTTCTGAAAGAAAAAGCGATCGCTTCGCGAGACTCAACGCATGCCCACACGTACACACGTATACACACAACCGCGCACACCAGCGGAGAGATCCACAGATGTCGCGAAAATGAAAATACGTCCTTCCTGCCCTCTCTCTCTCTCTCTCTCTCTCTCTCTCTCCCCCCTCTCTCTCTCTCTCTCTCGCTCTCGCTCTCTCGTTCATTCGCTTGCTCTCTCAGTTTAGTCAGCGGAGCGAAAAATAACTGCAAATAACGTTCGGAGATTACTCAGTTACCGCGATACACTTGTACTCCGGGTACTCCGCTACTGGGTCCTTCCATCGTGGCGCGGTGCAGTAACTGGGTTTCCACTTCCTATGTGATGTACAGTCGCCTACACCTTTGTGATAAATATCTCTCGTGTATGTACATGCTCGTCAGCCATGCTAAGGGTGAAAGAGAAAGAGAGAGAGAGAGAGAGAGAGAGAGAAAGAGAGAGAGAGAGAGAGGGGGAGAACGAAGAGATAGACGGAGACAGAGATTCCGGACAAAATACGGGCTCGTCCCACTCGACACGTTCACCGACAAGGGGGAATTGAAAAGCTGTCTGGCAATCCGGACGGCTTATCCCAATCCACCCTCGTCGTCTCTCCTGTTTCTTCCCTCTTCCTTCTCTCTCTCTCTCTCTCTCTCTCTTGTTTTTCCTCCCTCTCTCTCTTTCTCGCTTTCTCTCTCTCTCTCTCTCTCTCTCTCTCTCTCTCTCTCGTCTTTTCCTCTCGCATTGCTCCGTTTCTTCCTGCGAGTACTCGGCACGGGAACGACCTTTTGCCGGACTGGTCTCCCTCTCCTTCTCTCTTCAACACGCGACGGCCGATTAAGGTCTTCGAGTGCCGGTAAACTACATCAGGGCCACTTCGCTAGTTATATTTTTTTAAGAGGATGGAAGAGACGTGCTAGTCGGTTATCCCGCTCGAAAGTAGTCCGGCATTAACCCTCTAATGCCAGCAACGCTAAGCGAAAAGTGCGAGAGAACTCTTAATTGAGGGACCCACACGCACGAAGAACGAGCATTGACGACGTGTCCAGGAGAAGTAAAACGGATCGCACGTTATTCCGCCGTTTGAATGTAAAATATCCCTCGATTTCTCTCTTTTTTTATTCAGAGCATAATGACGATCGCGAGATAGCATGCGTCGCGATAACGGCGGCGGCGTCGTCTTCGATATCGCTTCGGTATCACGTCGAAAATCATTCGATCTAAATAAGCTTTCATGTTTCGACCGCAGAGAGAGAGAGAGAGAGAGAGAGAGAGAGAGAGAGAGAGAGAGAGACCCGATGAATCGACTGCACCACGCTCGCTCGTTTATTCGCAGCGAGCCCCAGTAATCCGTCTTTGATGTCGACGGCCGTCATTACCGCGCCAGTGAAATGTCGATCCACATCGGTACCGTACCGGACACGCGTAGCGTAATACATTGGAATACGTTCATTTAATCATGTCGTCGCCGTAAGTGTGTTCGGATATGACGTGCATGCGCGCGAGCGCGATCGGTCCCCGCGTTCGTTTGTACACGGAGTATATTTACCGGCACAATAATTATCGCGATTGATGATGAGGACCGCTGCGCGCCACCGCCGCCGCCAGCAGTGCACGAGCAGTCAAACCGCAGAGCAAATTCTAGGGACGAGTCGAGTAGTATTACGTTGCTTTGCCGTCTCCGCCGTGGCACGATGTAAATGGCCAGGGCGGCGGCGGCGGCGGCGGCGGCGGCGGCAGTGGCAATGGGCGCGTCGTTACAATAATTCCCAGGCACCCAATTACCGCCGGTTCGTTACCAGCTAAATTGCCGCGGAATAATTAACCCGAGTACCGTCGAAAATTCCGACGACCTCGATGTTAATTGCCGCGTCACGTTGCTTTGCTCTGCACAGCTTTGACCTGACGATAAACACTCCTCCCCGCGCAGTCAGCCTACGCGATGTTACATTGGAGGGAAATTTGAGTGGAAGCGATCGGACGCAAGTCGTTGCTAATTGCCGCTCGCTGCTCTCTCCCCCCTCTTTGCCTACCTCTGTAGCTGTCTTTGCTACCTTTGCGGGTCTCTCGGTTGCAATGATGAAGATTTTACCGAAAGATTTCTCTTCGCATAAGCCTTCGAACTCAATCTTTGAGAGCTAAGATTACTACTTTATGTTAAAAAATCACAAAAAAGATTATCGATTCATAATTCCAACCGAGAATTGAGATTTCTTTCCTGCAATTGCAAGATCCTCCAAAACGATTCAAGAATTTTTAGGGAGGAAACACGGAGAATCGACCGGTTTCTCAACTCGGATCAGCTAGCCTAACACATATAAATACGTTATTTCATGCGCGTGTGTTTTTTGCGTGTGTATGCCACGAACGATTTCTCGACGAAGGAAGGACTCGATTAAACGAGAACGTCGAACACGACGTTAATTTGATTAACTTTGCGGCGGCACTGTTTGCCGTTGGGTGTCGTGTTGCGAGAAAATATTTCGCTGGCCATTTACAGGGGAGACCCGGCCGGTCGCGCGTGCGGGGCGTTGCGGGGCTACTTTCCTTACAACGCAAATACACTCCGTTATTAAAGCGCCGAGGACGTGTACTCTTATTCACTAGCGAGTAGTGAGTAAAGAGTCACGCCGTAATAAATTGCTTCTCGGGCTGACGTTTCTGCCACGCCATAAACATCGCCGCGGACATTGAATTATCGAGGCGACGGGAGTCAACCGTCGCGTTGCGCGCATCGAGACTTTTATTTCCCGTTTATTTACTCAAGTCCCGCTCGTCCGCTTGTCACGCATAACGCATATTACGTGCGTCCTCCGTTCTCGATGAATTAAATCGAAATCGAAAATAATCATCGCCAAGAGGTAAAAATATTCGCAACATTGCACCTAGGGAGTCTCCGTTGGTACTCCTCAGATTCGATGGAACTCGCAGGCTCAACGTAGAAGCAGGATTTCGAGTCGGGAAGGCTCAGCGACAGAATCAATCGGCGCAGTCGGAAAAGGACGACGCGGAACTTCGGTACTTTAGCGGGGACTTCAATCGGTTTCGAACGGAACTTCGATACTTTCGCGTTTGCCCCTTCCCGGAGCGGAGCGGAGGAAAAACCCAGGGAGGAAAATAGTGTTCGTTAATCGAGAGAGAATCGGGCAGGCTCCGAGAGAGGAGATCCTCCAATTCCAGCCATTCAGGGCGAGGGAGAAGATCGCGGTTCACATTCGTCGCGATTGCACCTCGGTGCGCCATCGCGTGCGGTAGCCGATCGCGTGCCGAGCACGCGTGTGCCGAGGCGTGATTGTGTGTACGCGCGCGCGCGCGATTACGTCTTCGTCAACAACGATAGGGGCTTTCCGTCACGAGGCGACGGCATATTTCCAGCGACGGGCGACGGTTCCGCCGCTTATCGTCGAGTGTTTGCGATCGGCCGACGATAATGCCTGCGCCGCGAGTGCGATCGAGACACGTGTGGTTCGATCCTGGCCAGCACGTGGCTGATCGTCGTCGCGCGTCGCAACGCGCGGTTTACATTTCGCGCTCATTCTCTCGAGTGCCTCCAGGTGCATCGAGTGCGATGGGACGCGATTTGCACGATCGGGACTTTTTATAATTGCAACTTCAGCCATACTGTATGCTCAAGTTACGCTGGAAAGAGCGTAACTTCCAAATGCAACCTCGATGCTTGAAGCGGTATACTTTAAGCTATACTTTAAGCTATATTTAAAAGTGTACTTGTGTACTTTTAAGCCACGCTTGGGATACGCTCGTACGCGCGCACTCTTCGGTGTAACTCGCATGCTTCAAGTGGTATACTTTAAGTTACACTCATATATATACTTGTATTATACACTCTCGAGTCACACTTGAAAGTTATGAAAGTGGAGTACCACTCATATCGACAAGCAGCTCGGGCTTCAATACTGCGTAACTCACCGTTTCTCGCGGGGGACTCCAGCACTGCGGCGACGTACTCCGTCCGCTGTGGCTGCTCATGGCGGAATTCGACGCCGAGTGTAGGTTCTGGAGACTCGCATTGAGCGGCGTCACCGGCTCGTCCTCCGTCGTCTCGATGTCGACCTCGTCGTCAGAGTTCTCCTCCTTGTCGGCGGCGTCCGTCGCTCGCTCCGGAACCAGCTGCTCGACGATGGGTGGCCCACGGATTACCGGGCGGAACGCCGATTGATGTAGCGGCGGGTTCACGGTGGGAATCAAAGGTTCCGTGGGACTGGAGCCGCTTATCGGCGGCGGCAGCGGTCCTGGAAGGAGCGAGGGCGCGCGATCGTCACCTAATTGAGGTCGAGTCGGTCGTTTGCGTGAAAATGTGCCGAGCGATCGCCGACGGAGACGTACGTTTTATGACTTCGAAGCTTTGCACACGTAAGAAGAAGACACGCGATTAACGCGACTCCAAGTTCGATGGAATGGACGATTAACCGCCGAACATTAGCTGTGTGATTATGCTCGACTATAGTCCTGAAAGGACGTGGAAGTAATAATTGTTATGTGGGTATGACGCAAGTTTGCCGCCCGGTAATCTCCACAAATTCCTTACGACGCAAGCTGTGCCACCGTTCTCCATCCTAATTTCCCGCCCGTTTTCCGCGAACCGCAATGAATTCAAGCGCACCGTTGTCGAAAACATATCGGCAACTGTCGTCTCACCGGGAAACAAGACGGGACCTCTCTTGGCCAACCAAGGCAGAGCGTAGGGCGGGAAGGCGAAGCCGGGCGTCTTGGCCGCGGCGACGGCCGCCGCCTGCTGATGCTGATGCCACACGTAGTCCATGACGAGACTCCTGGACAGTGGCAGTGGCAGCTCCGGGAACGGCGGCACTCGCGGGTGCGCCGGCGTCGGCACCAGATTGGGGATCTGCGCAGTGGTGGTCGGCGAGGACCTGGGCTGCTTCGCCGAGCTCGGCGACTCGCGGGCGCTCGCGCTGCCCAACAGGCGCTTCCTGGTGCCGCCGTTGAACATCGCCTTGACGTCCTCCCAGGCGTGCACCACCTCGTCCGGCGGGCTGCCGGACAGCTTCATGTGTCGGCGCCAGGAATTGAAGTTGGCCGCGTCCGGCTGCACGTACTTGTCCGACGGGCTGAGCCGGTGCGAGTGGAAGATAAACTTGTTCGGCGAGAAGAACAAGCCGCAGTACGTGCACTTGATGCACTTGGCGCGCGAGCTGTTGTAACGCGCCGGCAGGAACGCGCCGCGGCATCCCCAGGCGCACTCGTGGTGGACGGAGAACGCAAAGTCCTCCGGCAATCTGCGAAACAGCCCGGTAGCCGGCGCATTGCTATTGTCGTTATTATTATTCTCCCTTTCTCCCCTCCCCCGTCGTCGATACTCGAGATATGCTATGGATATTAATTTAATCGGTAATATTGAACTGTTAATGACAACCTCGGCCAAGGAGGTGCGATGATACACAAAGGCGGAGGACAACAGGGTATTCTGCTTCCATCAGGCTATTCTTTCATCAGGTGCATTATAAAAAGATCAAGATTATGTCGCACACGCAGCTATTCGCTTCACGCGACCTGCAGTTTCAGTCTCGTTAAGAGTCTTGTTCAGTCCACTGTTGAACTTCGCGGTCGAAACTTCTACGTCAGGCTGTTGACCCGACTCGATTTTGACTCGACTCGGTTGCAGTTTGCGTAACGAAATTCGCGTAACTCCGTATATTTTTTTTTTCATTCGATTTTCTTCAACGCGACGCAGTCGCGTGCAATGCAAGGGAGAAGGGCGAGGGTCCGGTTATTTTGTACTGACCTGGGCGGCGCGTTGTCGCCGAGGAAGGACTTGCAGAGGCGCTCGGCTTCCCGGCGGGTGATCATGCCGCACCTACGCGACGACACCGGCATCGCGCCCGCACGACGGAGAATCTCCAGCTGCACCGGAGTGCACTGCACGCAGGTGATGCCCAACGCCACCCGACGATTGTGGATCTCGTTGTAGCTGAACTGCTTCAGCAGGGTGTTGCTGATCTGCGCCAGGCAGAGTCTCTCTTGGCCCTCGATCACCAGCGACACGATGTGGATGCCGTACAGCGACACGGTGCCCACCTGCAACTCCTGTCGATTTAGTTGCACTACGATGCCCTAATGGAGCGGCGCAAGTCGAAGCGCATCGAAAGCCCGTTTCCATTTTCACGAGGTGCTCGCGAGAACTACGGTCGATTTCGTTTATCACGGTGGCGGCAAAGAGAGAGAAAAGAAGAGACCAACTCGAATCGAAGTCAAAGGAACTGAACTTCAGGACTGTGCATATAAATTTCGGTGTTCTCTTAAGCTGTCGCTCGTGTTAGGCAAGCTCAATATTCAGTTCCATGAGTCGATCGAGAAGCCGAATGCAAAAGTCACTTGGACGAATTGCCTTGTCGGATGTGAATCGATTAATCTCGACTGTCCGAGATCTGTCGTCCAGATTGTCGCTGTTACCTGATTCTGCTTTGGATGCGGTTGCGGCTGCGGCGACTGCGCCGGTTTCTGCGAGGCGGCCAACGGCGGCATCGACAACACCGCCGGCCCGTCCATCCTGAAATAGACGGTTTTACCAAATTAAGCAACGGGGAGAGAGACGCGAGCGGACGTTGCTTCGCTCGTCTAACAATCTTTATCTCCCGCTGGCTAACTGAACGGAACGCACCCTTGAGCGAAGACCAGTCGAAATTACAACACGTATCAAATCGGATCGGGACACGAGCTGTGACGTCGTTAGGGAGAATTCCACGACAAGGAATTTGCCTCCTTTCCTCAAGAGAACCTACCGTTGGTCGCTTGAAAACTGTAACGGTCTTTTGAGCGCAAGTTTCGAGAATTGTTCGTTAATTCCGCGCGACCCGGTGGCGCGATATTGCGAGCGCCGGCTTTATTTGCGGGCCCGATGGGAAATACGCCAGCGTTGATAATAATTTCTCTCGACGCGGTTTTTATCGTTATCGGCGAGATTGATTATAATCTCTGATGTTTTACGGTCGCTTCCGTCGATGCTCGCGCTCGATAATAAATTCCGTGTTTTCCGCTCGCGCCGCGCCGGGAAAAAAGCATCCTCCTCCTCCTCCTCCTCCTCCTCCTCCTCCACCCTCATTGTAATTATATTTATTACACTTTATCGATCGCCCCCCTCCCCCGCTCTTCCTCTTTCTCTCCCCATCTCTCCCTTTCTCTCTTTCAACATGCCGTTGCGTCCGGCAGTGCATTCAGCTCAATTAAATCGCGGGCCCTCCTCGTTTTTCCTCTGTCCCGACGGCCGCGCGATCACCGGCCAATTAAATCGCGAACGGTAACGCGACTTTTCATATCGCGAACGCAAACACACGCCGCGCTCTCAGATCTCCATTTATATTCGATCTTTTTACACAAAAAGACAAAGGCCGGAGCTACCGATCCGCGCTGATATTTTCGCGCAGGAGCGCATGGAAACTGTCGGGCCGGTTGCTTTGAAGCACGAGTATAAACCGGATACGCGAATTATTTGCGTACAGAAATGCTTCCTCAATTTTTCATCTCGTGTTTTCATCATAGTACACGCCGCGTACAACTTGTGTCTGGCACGGCGAATTTTTGATCGGCGCGACGAGTGCTTCGATTGCGATTATCCGCGATTGGGAAAACACGCGTGTCGATTGAAAGGTGTGATTAAGTTGTTCTCGACGCCGTCATCGTCGTCGTCACCGTCGTCGTCGTCGTCGTCGTTGTCGCTCGAAGGGCACTCCTTAATTATCGGGCGGTGATTAAACGAATCCGAAGTCCCGCTGAAATTAAACTCGCGCGATCAAAGCGTTGGTCGCAGTCTTTTCTCTCTCTCTCTCTCTCTCTCTCTCTCTCTCTCTCTCTCTCTCTCTCTCTCTCTCTCCTCTCCTCTCCTCTCCTCTCTGTCTCTCTCGCGAATCGCAGCATAGAATTAAAGACGATTAAATCCCTTTTCTCTCGCTTAACCTTCTTTCCGGCTTCTTTCCGTAATCGATAATTGGTTGATTCGTTAATCGTGAATCGAGAACAACGCGACCATGTCCGTGCGCTTCTAGACGCTGATCTCGCGATTGAGCTCTTTGGGAATGCGAAAGCGGGTTAACGAGACGGGATTTTTTTTCTAACGCAAAGTTTTGCCCGCGGGTAGCGTCGTTGAGAGAAAGAGTTTAGCGCGATGCACTCGCAATTTCGATTGTAACGCGAGATCGATTGTAATAACGCAACGATTACTTCTCGCGCGACGTTGAGGTGAACTTCTCCATTTAGACACAATCCCGCGGACGGAACTTTATGAGAAAGTTGCATCCCTTTTTGTGGAATTCGTCTCGCGGAACTACGTTGAATCTAACCTAACCTAACCTTCCTTCCGATTGACGAGGCGTCGCCGAAGAGATTCGCGAGGAAATAACTCTCAGAGTGATAAACTATCAATCCGCAGGTCGTCGTGATTTTTTTCCCGCGGGTCAAAGTGACACGAAATTCCGCGAGGATTTCGCGCGGAGATGAATGCGCGCGAAGAGCATCCTCCTTAAGGAGAACGATTCGCCGTTTCCATCGTCGCGCCCGCTTCCACCGGAGCGTTCTTACCTCACTGCGGTCGGAGTACCGTCGGATGAGGAAAAAAAGGTGGAATGTTAAAGGCGAAAATGAGAGTCTGCTCTGAATCGAGTCCTTTATCCTCTTAGCGGGGACGGAGAAGCGGCGAAAAATTCTGGCTCTGTGTTTGTAATAAGTGACTGGAGGTTTCTGTATTGTTAGTTTAACGCACCCGACGAGGACTCGACTCGCCGGAGGCGAGTCGCGAACCTCCGAGGAACACGGCGAGAGAGGCGGACAAGGAAAATTATTTATCGATCGCGCTCCCCAAGACAGATTCACCGGGAAGCGCATAACAAGAAACGTTACGACGCGTGCTGAGCAACGGATGGGTTGGGGCGAAGGTGGAGGTGGTGAAGAGAGGGGTGCGGGACCAACGCGATCGCCTTATGTATTAACATTTATATTAATACACGGAGGTGCCGCGACTTTTAACCATATGCACACGTAATGCTGTAATAATCATGGCGTTGTAAATGTTAAGGCTGTTATGCTGGTCTCTTTCTCCGTGCGCGCCAGCTTCAAGCTACATATATATCGCTCTACATATTGTGTTGCAACGTAATCATAAATGCAGATCAGCTTAAATGACCGCATTGTACGACGCGCAAAAGTCATGCAAGTTCCGAGCCAGTCTCCTGCGATGGAGGCAGGATCCTGCGGCAGGATTCCATTTCTCTGTTTCTCCATTCCCTTTTTATTTCCACTTTCATCAAATTCAATGCGACGCGTAGCGGAACTAAAAGCGTGTACACGTGCGACGAGCAAACTGCCGCTGCAGCTCCATCGTCCTCGCCGCCGTCGCCGTCGTCGTCGCCGTCGCCGTCGCTAAGTAATGTAATACGCAGCTCGGGTCGTTACCGCACACGAGCACGGTACGGTAACCGAATTAATAACATAATGCACATAAGACAGCGAAGAGACGCGGCGCGGGCAGAGAAGTGAGGGCTGGAACGAGCCGGAGGGTGGCTGGGGGCGCAGGGGGAGGCGGGAGGGTGCATCGCGCGGAACAGGTACGCCGATTAGGAGGAGAGATCAAAACGGTCAGCAAGAGGAGCGAGCGGGGGCCGAGCGCAGAGAGCGACCGGGTCGGGGCCAACCCCCGACCCGGTGTTGATTTTAATTGAAAACGCCTTCGTGGAGAAGGAAGCGCTCGCTGTGTGTCGCTCGCACACACACACACACACGCGCGCGTGCACGGACACACAGACGCACAGACAGAGACACCGACGCAACCGCCCCGACGTCCGGAGGCGCAGCGAGAGCGCCAGCGCCCCGGCAAACGTCCCCGGGGAGCCGTGGTACGAGGGGGTAATTCAATTTGACACCCCCACCCACGCTTAAACAAGGCAGCACCCATCCGAGCGCCCTCCTACCCCCTCCTCCGTAATTCTGTACCTCTCCTCACGCGCCCTCCTGCGCTCTCTCTCTCTCTCTCTCTCTCTCTCTCTCTCTCTCTCTCTCTCTCTCTTGCCCTCCTCCATCGTCCTCTCACCCTCTGTCCCTTCCTCTCTCGCCTCGTACCGTGCAAATTAAATTCTCATCCACCGTGAAACAATGTCGGTACCCGACCCGGAACAACCCCTCCGTCCCATCGCGAGTTTCCCCGCTCCCATGCCCCACGCTTCTCACCCCCCGCCGGGCCTGCTGCGTCGACGAACCTCGCGGATTCCGTTGGTCAGCGGTCGGACGAATTGGACTCGAATCGACCGCATTAATTACTCGCTACTTACAATTATAGTGCAGATCTGGTAGAAACAGCCGGTCGTTCGGTCGCTCGCTCGTTCACCATCAACGGTCGCGAGACGCTCGCTCGTCGACTTAACGAAGACCGCTTAACTGTCACCCGCGTTAAAAATCTCGCAAGGACGCTTTTGAGAAGCGCCGTCTAATTTACGGCGAATTTATGCAAGGAGAATCCTGTGTCTTGTGATAGGAGACAATTTTTGGAACTTTTATCAGTAGTCTTTCCTCAGTGATAAAAATTGAAGAGAAAAAGAGAGGAACACACGATACGCGGTCTCCTTCCACTTCTTTAATTAATCCCAATGCGCTTCGACTCTGTCGTTCGGTCTCTCGTCGCGAATTACGGAATGGACTTCAGGTTATTGCGATTCAATTAAATTTAATAACCAAACGCGATCGCCGAATATCGTTTTCCGTCGAGACGCGATCGCACGGAAATGTCGCCCGCGAGTCGTCTCTTGAGGACCGCCGGCGCTCGAGGATTGCGCGTGCGAGCCGGAGAGACAGAGACCAGAGGAGAGATACACAGAGAGAGATAGAAGTAGCGGCGCTCTCAGGATTACGTACCCGCGGGCTCGCGGATTATTTAAATGCAAACACAATGTTGTACCGGGGCGCATTGTTCCCCTCTCGGTTATTTTACAATTCAATCTGCGATCCTGGGGCTCCGCCGACGCGGCGCGGCGCGGCCGGGGAGACGACGAGAGTTCTCGTTCGCTCTCTCGTTCTCTCTTTCTCTCTCGCTCGCTCGCTCGCCCGCTCGTTCGTTCATTGTAACGTTGTTAAATCTCCGTCCTTCCATCATGACTATCTCCTACCCCTCTAGATTCTATATCTCTCCGTGTGTCCCTCTCTCTCTCTCTCTCTCTCTCTCTCTCCTCTCTCTCTCTCTCTCTCTGCCTCTCCCTCTGCCTCTTTCTCTTTCCCTCAACCTCCTTCTTTCACTTGAATCCTCCTCCGCGCCGGCCTTTCTCCCTATCCGGCTTCTCTCTGTCTTGCGTAGGAAATCTTCCGTCTTCTTTCTCTCTCTCGGTAATTGTACGCGCCTCTCGCATTCTTCGCATAATTTATGAGCGGCTGCTTTCTCCTCTCTGTCTCTCTCTCTCCCCCCCTCGCCCGAGCCGCGGCTCCTTCCTTCCCCCTCACAGCCCCCGTTGACATTTCCTCCGCAGAGATGTAAATTGGGACAGCGAGCGTGTAATTCGGCCGGACAACGAAGCGCGATGTAATCAGCATTAATAACGTCGACGTCATCGCGTTGCCCGGTTGTCGGTGATTGCGCTCAACGCTCGCAATTAATCCATCGATCCGGCTGTCGAGTTTAATTTTGACTCTCGATTAGTTCGATCACGCGAAAATCCGGCCGAGCTCGCAATCAAAGATCTCCCGGGGGCCTCTCGTGATTCGACGAATTTGCGTAAAGCTCGATATATACATATATATATATATACACCCGCGGACTGTGGCGAAAATTACCATTACAAATAACGCCGGTCAATTGTGTCGTGCGATCGTTTTGTCGATGAGCTCTTTTGCTCTTTCTCTCTCCCTCTCTTTCTCTCTCTCTCTCCCCCTCTCTTTGTCCCTCATGACGCGAACATCATTTTTACTCGCTCATCGCGGATTTGCATGGTGAAACGTGCATCATGAAATTGGATTCGCTCGTGTGAAAAACATTTGACCAAGTAGTTTCGACAGACAGATTTTATCGCCAGGAGATTACGATTGTTCAAATGTATATGCGCGCGTTTCTTTGAAATAGGTCAACAAATAGTCGCGAGTTGTTCACCCGTTTGAGCAAGTTCTTTCCTCTGAGTGAGCGAAACACGATATCAATTGAAACTGTTTCGTGTGAATTTGTGGCAAACTATAAAGGCCAGTAGTCGGAATTGCGTACGCCCGCAGAAACTCCTATATTAATATACGCAACGTAATTCTTAATTTTTCTATTCTTAATTCTTAATTCTTTCGTTAATTCTTAATGCTTTTGTCGTTTAATCGCGGCTAAGCATCAGCTTTGACAGCAGCGCATTGATCCGTTTGCCTTTGTATTTATATGCGCGTTAAAATGTTATCATGTAGAATGGCACTGAAAAGAGAGAAAGAAACAGGGAGAGAAAGAGAGAGAGAGAGAGAGAGAGGGGGGGAAGGGCGAGCGGGGAGGAGAACAGGGAGAGAGGGAGAGAGAGAGAGAGAGAGAGAGAGAGAGAGAGAGAGAGAGAGAGAGAGAGAGAGAGAGAGAGAGAGAGAGAGAGAGACGCGCAACGCCGCGGGCTGCTATCGCAATTCGTCGAGAGGGGATCAGGAGATTAAATGCCACTCGGATAATAATTTTAATAACCGGAATGCACTCTCTCTGATCGTCATGAGTACTTAGCTCCATCCAGGGAAAAAAGGGTCTTTCTATTTTAAGAGCTCGACTCGTATTTTTGCGATTGCAATTGCAATTCGTACACCCAGTTGCAGTCGGCCATTTATTTTTGCGCTCCGATGTGAATCGATACGAAAATCACGCCGTCTGAACTGAGCGTCCTTCTCGCTCGCTGTTTCTTTTCTTTCTTCCCCCGTGTGACTTTCGGACCGCGTCCGCGCTGCGTCGTGGGAGAGTCTGTTTTCCAACGGGAGAAGAATTCTCCCACCTGGACCAGACGGAGCCGAAAGTCACGCGACAGATCGCGCATCACCTTTCTGTGTCTTTCTGTGTACATCTGACACGAGGAACGCGATTCGCGCACATTGTAGCGCTTCGCGGGGGAGCGCCGGCTAAATCCACGCCGCCGGGTCGCTGAAACTTTCAAGACGCCACTCTCCCGACTTCCCCGAGCGGGTTCCCGCTTAAAGGAGACCTCAAGCGCGCTCAGCGGCGCTATAAATCGCGCGGGGGTAGCCGAGCAAAAAATTAGGCGAGACACGTCTCTCTCGGAGCGATCAGCGAGAACTTTCGGAAACTTCCCCGGCAGCCACCTGAGTCTCCGGATGATCATCGCGATTATCGATTCGCGGGCCTAAGCGGGATATTTTCCGCGCGCTAATTTCCCACCACCAGCAGTCGCCAGTTTGCCGTCGGAGCCGGACCAACCGAGCACGCCTCCGTGATTCGCGCGGGTATTACGTCGAGCACACGCGACCCCGCCACACAGGTGTGTCACGAGTACCTGGACCTTGCGAAATGTTCAGCTCGGAGCGTAACAAAGCGAACATTCGGCGCGGGTTATTCTCGGTGACGAGAGTTCTTCGGCTAATCCCGAGCGCAAGCAGTTTATGGTGTTTGTTCGTGCGCTCGGCACCCCTCCGCGACGCTACGACCCCGTGTAGCCCCGCGGGACCAGTTTGCTTGGGACCCGTGAATCGACTATCAATTTATTTAACAGCGCCCCGAAGGGGGCTCTCTCCGCGACACTGATTCGGCGCCACTAGGAAGGGGGGTTCGAGTGTGCGTCGCCAAGTACGCGCGAAATGGTTCATTCGATATGAAAACGCGAATGATCAGAAATGATAAGCGACAGAGCCTTGGACGTGGAGTACAAACAAACGGTACATACCTGAAGCGGACGCGGTCCTGACGTCGCTTAGCTGAGCGTGTCGTCTGCTTTTCGTTCACAAAAATCGAGTCGTCAAAAGTCGTGATCGTCGGGGGATGATCCGGGTTGCCTTCTTCAGGTAGAGATTGTCGTCTTCAACTATCACGCAGACTAGCTTCTCTCTGAGTTTTCCTTTACGACGAGCACTTGTTTCTCCGATTGTGACAAGAGAAATTTATTTCTCCCACCTCTTCTTTCTGCTACGATGAGGACCCCGTTTTTCAACTGCGACAGAACTCGTGTCTTCAATGACGACGACGACGACGACGACGACGACGACTCGTTTCTTCGTCAACCGACGGCCGCTGTTTTTGGGTCGCGTCAACTCCGAACGTTCTTGATTACGGCACGACGATTCAGGTCGTGCCGTACTCGTCTACCACTGTCGCGGGCCACGTTTAGGAGATGGTGTTACTCGTGCGAGCTCTCGACTGTCGTCCTCCGCACGGGGTGCGTTTTCAGGCCGTACTTGACGCGTCTCTTCCACATCGTCCTCTTCCTCCCGGCGGCCGGCGCGCACCCCGCGTGAACGAGAGCGCTAAATCGGGACGCAGGGTGGCGAAGAACCGCCCCCGAGTGTCCCACCCCCGTGACCCCGTGACAACCAACCCTATGCCGACGAAGGCGGAGCCTGGCTCTCTTGCCTCTCCGGGGGTGGCTCACCTCAGGGGTAACTACAAACACGTACTTACCGAACATTATTATTATACCCGCACTCGACCCACGCGCGCGCGAGCGCGCGCAAACGGGGCCGAAGAGAGGGTGAGAGCGAGACAGGCAGAGCGAATGAACGACTGCGAGAGAAAGAGCGAGCGAGTGAAAGAAGAGGGCGAGGGAGGGTAAAAGAGTACGCGCTCGCGCGCGCGTATGTTTGGACTTACGCGTCTGCAGAATATTACAGTCCTACGCGTTCGGGTCCTTGACTGGGAATAACAACCCAAAAGAACGACCGATTGTTCTTGAAGTCTAAGGGACACGTCTCGACATCTTGCTTCGAGCGATCGTCATTATTTTATCTAGGTCACTTTGCGTTACCGTCCGTACCGGCCGAGCCGTGAAGCTGAAGGGTGCAAGTTACTCCGTGGCCCAATAAACAGCCCGATGGCAGGCAGACTTCACCGATGTTGCACCTTCTCGCTCGACAATGCGAACGCAATGTAATATATTGTTACGTCGCGCTTAACGCACAGTTACTTCGTTCAGGGGAAATTGTAATGTATTAATGTGACGTATTGCGACTTGGTGTTTACCGATTCCGCTCGACGGCACAGTCATCGGGCGTCGAAAGGACTTTTGCCCGATGTTTTGCCCCGCACGTCCATAGTGACAGGTACTATTCCGACGTCGCCAAGGAGTGTGCGTCACGTCAATGGCGACATTCAAGACGATTAAAGAGCGAGAGGGAGAGCGCGCGCGCGCGCGCGCTCTGTTCGCTCGTGACGCAAATTAAATCCGCTTAACGCGGATCTGCGAGGGGATAGGACCGATTTGCGAGACGCTTTTGACCGAGCCGGGAATACCTCGTCGTAGGAAACGGAGACAAACAAGCGGCGCTACATCCCAGCCGGCGAGGCAGGCGGCGCTCACAATCGGACGTAGCGCACCCCCTCGCTGCGAACGACGCGCTCGCGTAAGCTCGTGTAAACTCAATTAAAAAATTAGCGGCGTTTTCGTGTCCCAATTGAAATTCCATTTCCGAACGGGCCAGTCTTTCTCGCGGGTGTTTCATGACGGAAGAGCGCTCACCTCTACAGCCGGATCGTTACAGATCTGGCTGTAAGTAAAGGAGCCGGTATCGCGGAGGGAGGATCGCGAGATCGATTTAGAGGCGTCGTCTCCTGCTCGAGAGCATCCTTTCTGCGAAGGCGCTCCGTTTAACGAACCGCAAAGAGGCCGGTGCAGTTTATAGCCCAGTTGGCCATTACGATCTTCCTTTTTGCCGTCCCGGGACGTATAATAAATATCGCCGCGCACCCCTGCCAATTATGCCGGACCAGCGCGCCTTTCCCTCTGTCTCCCCCCCTCCACCCCCCGTCTCTCTCTCTCTCTCTCTCTCTGCACTATGTCTCCCGACGAAAAGTCACAATGCGCGAACATAAGGTCCGATAGGAGTTTCATCGTCGCCACCCTCCGATACCCACTGTCTACCACCATTCGCGCGTCTCCCCCTGCGAGCATTTGAGTGCTCGGAAATCCGTGACTGCGTTATTTTATTAATGCCCGTCCCATGATCGCCGGGCGTCGCCGCTAACACACCGCCCGATGACGGTGATAAATAGCGGATCAAGTCGCGGGCGCATCGAGCGGAATTAAATCAAATTCAGGCGCGATCGAGACTCTACTCGGCGACGTTAATACAAGCGTCGCGATTGGGAAGCGCAATTACCGGCAGATAATTCTGATCTCTACACTATACGGGGGGGGGGGGAGGGAGGGAATTGTTTCGACGGCGAGGATCATCTTGCCAATATTCGTGAAACATACGTCGAGCAGAATTCGTCGGCAAGTTGCACTACTTGTATTACTCGCGCAAAAAAAGGAAATCGAGTCAAGCGCGAAAATATCACGGAGCTTCGCCATTATCGTGAGTAAAACGTGACAAGAACGTTTAAGAATCATTTATGATACGTCGCTTCCCAGGAAGGGGATTTTTTCGTCTGGAGGTTTACCCTCCCCCGAGAAGCCGCGCTTCTCGGTTCCGCGCTCTCTCGAAATTTCCCGGAGTGCGATCTCACTCGAGGCGACAGTGAAAATATCAGCGCTCAGAATTACAAGAGCGAATGTTTAATTCAAACTTAAAATAGATTCCTACACGACTCATATACGAGCGTTTCAGTCGATTAAAGTGAATTTCAATGGCAGCGGAGATATCAGGTCGGACTCGCCCCTCAGTATCGAATAAAAATGTTCGCTCTGCGATTCGAAATGGATTTCGCTCCACATAAGCGAAATGTCGCCTCGACCTCGAATGACTCGGCTTCTTCAACGCGCTCTTCGCGCGGAATATCGCTCGAAGCAATCCCGAGAGGCGTTATCGCCGTTCCGTAACGCTCGCGAAGACGCACGAAAATCGGCCGGCCATTCCATTCTCCCCTCCCCCTCCCGTCCCTATTTCCTTGTTAGCGACCTATTATTCGCCGCGAGCACGTTCGATTTCCGCGGCGATAAAATTAAACGGGCTCCATTGCCGGCCGGACCGCGGAATAACGATGCGCCGAACGATTCAGCTAACGAGCTGCACACGATATCGCTGTGCTCCTCTCCGCCACTCACGCCGCGCCGTCACGCCGCGCCGCGCCGAGCCGAGCCGAAAGAAGATGAAGTGGTTAAGCGCGGATCTCAATGGACTGCCAATGCCGGGGATCGCTTTGATGAGGGCGCGTGTCGGGTATTAAAGCTACCTTCGCCGACCAGTTCGACCGCACGCGGTTGGTTTGCAGGAGAATCGACTCGTTCTCTCTCTCTCTCTCTCTCTCTCTCTTCCTGCCTCTCCTTCCCTCGCCTACCGGCAGCGCGGGGGCGGCAGGGGTGCACTGGTAAGTTCGCTTTTCGATACCGATCAAATCTGCCGGGGGTGGAAACAAGTAGTGGCGGTGAGGGGAGCGAAAGCAACCCCCACGTGGGCCGCAATAATCGAAACTGCCGCGGCTTCTCTCGACAATTGCGGCATTTGCGAGATCGGTGATCGACGTGTTCAAAAGCGATATTAACTATCCCGCTGCCGATCGCTGCGCTCTCAAATACATATGATATGCGTATGCATATGTATGTGTGTGTGTGTGTGTGTGTGTGCGCATCGTGGTTACCGTGTTTAACGAATGACGCTCCCCCATAAACGCGAGACCGACCTTTTTTTCACGCTTACGCGTTTGCGCGAATTTTCGCCGAATTTCCGGCGCTCTGGAAGAGAGGCGACGAGGTTCTCCTCAACGATGCACGCGATTAAACGATGCACGCGAGCCTCGAATTTTTCCGAGTCTCTGGCCGGGGAGATACGATTCGCCATTCGCCAGCGATTCGAGATAAAGAAACAAATCCGCATCCCAGCCGGCGTGCAGATTCGGGGGTGCGCGCGTGGATGCTGCACTTGGCAGCGTGCACCACCGTGCGGAACCATGTTTGCTATTTGCATAACGAGCGGCGGCCTCGAGGCGCGACACCGGCCCGTTCGGGGGTGACGATGCGTGCGAAATTTCGCGCGAGGGTCGTAATCGACGCGCCGAGGTTTCCGTTGCGACACGCACGATGCGTGTGTAATGAGAAAGGGAGGGAGCCGGGAGGGGGGGGATGGTTAGAGGGAGAGAGGGAGAGCGAGAGAACGCGCCTGTAAGTCAACGCGACGTGATTCCCGAACGCAACGCTGCGGCTGCCGGCATACTGCGCAGTCAATTAGTTTAATAGGCCGACAGTTGTTGTGTTCGCCGGCGAAAGGGGAGAAGGGCGCCCCTGCGCATCGTGAGTGTCGTCACGCCCCTGCGAAGTATCGTTACCACTGGGGATGGTCACTTTTTAGGGAAGCATCGATACTTTCATTTCCCGTTCGAGCGTCCCGCGATCGATTCGCGGTATCGACGCCGATGGGTGAAAATAAAACTGTATGAGGATGGAGAATTCCGAAGCGCTGACCTCACTAAGACTTCACCTGACGAGAATAAAGTCCAGCTTGATTCTCATCGAAGATAGACGAAGTCTGATGTCACGCCTGTGGACAACGAGAGGATGGAGAAATAGCTGTAATTCGCCATAATTCGTCTTCTACGCGCGTTTTTAATCGCAATCGGGGAGTGACTCCGACTCCGAACGCGCGATTCTCACGAAGAATTCCCTTAGGCCAGGTTAAGGGTTCATTTAAAGGAGAGATCGTCAGGCCAGGTATGATCGAAGGTAGACGCGGGAAGCGTCACGCATAATGTTATTCCTCGTATCTGTTGTAATAACTGTAATCCGTGCACCCTCGATCCTCTCGACACTAATAGTCGACGGATAATACAGATTACAACCCCCTCGCGCACCCACCCATTGCCCCCCCCCCCTCTTCTACCGTCCTTCTCCCTTATACCACCCGCCTTCGCGTATCCTCCGTCGACGAATCCGCCGCCCCATCGTGTTCCATTTCCGTTATTCCGTAGCGAACGTGTTTGCCACTCGAATGGCAATCTGAAACAATCCCGAAGCAATCGGCGACGGGGTTTCTTCGTGGTCAGCACTCTACTCGCGAAATCGATTCCCGATTATTTTTCTCCTTCGACGATCGCGCCGGGACGAGGCAGTCGCGCGCGACTTCTCCGGCGGGGTGGCGACGGCGAAGGGAAGGGAGAGGGAGACACCGACGGGTATACGGGTGTGCGAAACTTTGGATCGCAAATTTAAGTCACGATCCTGTCGTGGCTGCGCAACAATCTGAGTTATTCCGAGTTAGGCTGAGGAGAGCGGCTCGAAAGAAGGGGAAATTAAGCGATTGCTTCATTTTGACAGTTAATTGCTTCCCGGAACGATATACGCGACGTCGG